CCGTTGCGTAAGAGATTATCAAGTCGCATAGTGAGCCACACGTTTGACTTCCTTAAGCGGTTGGACAACTTGGATGTGAAGGATAAGCTGGTGCTTTCTTTGGACGTGGAGTCCCTATTCACGAATGTTCCTTTGATAGAAACTGAATTACGTCTGCAGCCGTCTAAACGAGGACAACACCTTTATCAACTTCCCAGCGCAGCAGGTAAAATAACTTATTCCATCTTGTACTTTCAACTGGCAGTTCTCATACGACGGACAATACTACCGATATATTGATGGAGTTGCTATGGGGGTCGCCTTTGGGACGGCCACTTACAGACGTTTTCCTTACCGAAGTTGAACGCGGTGCAATTAAACATCTCATTGCTTCTTTTGTATCATACCACAGGTACATGGGTGATACCTTCATCGTTTATGACTCCAAACCTGATCAAATTCATCTATTGAATCAGTTCAACAATGCGCATCCGTCGCTAAAATTTACCTGCGAGCTTGAAGACAACGGTAATTTAGCTTTCCTAGACAGGTTGCTGCGGCGACGAAACGATGGCTCTCTCGAAGGAAGCGTGTTCCGGAAGACAACTTGGGTTGGGCCGTACACGCACTTTCCTAGTTTCGTTACTATGAAATACAAAGGAAACCTAGTACGTACTCTGTACTATCGATCTACGAAAATCTGCAGCCTGGAGACGTTGGATGAGAAAGGTTTCCTTCAACGAACGCTAGAAACCAACGGCTATACGGCGGCTTTCATCAAGATGAACTCTGTTGTCCGGGATCACCACAAGAGTATGACAACTGAACCGGTTCCTTTCAAGAGAGACTGCTCTTCGAACTACTTTGCAGTAAGATCTCAACCGAAGTACATCAAACCTATCCGGCAGCCCGAGTCCACATTCTTGCCTTAATAGCCCCTCTCATCACGCATTGCCTCAAAGATAGGCTTCCGGTTGAGTCCAACTCCTTTGTTGTATATTAGTTCACATGCACCTCTGGTACTAGGTATATTGGACATACGACCAGACGTCTGTCGAAGAGAATTGCTTAGCAGTTCCCTGCATCATTGCAGTATGGTATGGTAAAGAGTGTCCACAGCTCCATCTTGGACCAGACCGGACACCAAATAAGAGCTAAGGACTCTTAAAGTTTACTACGCTGCACCGAAGCGGCCCCCAAATGGGCTCAAAATGAGTTTGCTGACTACGGCTGGAGCCATTGAAATCAGACGGTTACAGCCAGACCTGTATAAGCAGAAGACTCAGAAGAAGAAGACCCATTATCTTGCCGTGGGCTTAGCCTAGTCATGTGACCTTGTAGCAATTGACCGGTTGGAGGTTGTTTGATTTGAGCTCCTGTATACTTCCCTTATCCTTTATCCCTTATCCGGACATCCACTACTTTACAATTGCTGGCTAAAAAAGCGTAATGTTCATCGTAATTGTACACGCCTGAGGTGAATTGTCGAAAAGAAATTTCTTCGCGCCAATTGTCTTCTAACGTTTACATAGGCATAGTCTACGAATGAAAATGAAATTAAAGCACAGAGAGCATATTACTACACTTCAGTGTTTCACGATGTATTAGTATTAGCCTACTATATCGGAATATTTATAAAGTATGCACAACTTTTTCAATCATGTTGCAATAACTTAGTCAGTTCCAAGATACACTTCACGGTATCGTTTTTTGCTGAGGTCCTTTAAAAAGTACAGATGGTTACAGCTCATGCATGCCATAAATATCGCACATTTTACATGATTACTAACGACAATGGGTTCCACACATATAATTTAACGCGAATATGGCAATGCATTGGTGCGTTTCAATAAATAATTGCTTAAAGTGCACTCACCTTTTCGGATTTTCCATTTTCTTGACAATCTGTGATCATGCAAGAAAGGGAAGACATTTTATATGGAAATAAACTTAGACTGGCTGAAACTGTTTCAAAGTAATGATTACTGTGTTATCTAAGTTTGCAACCAAAGAAATCAGCAATAATATAATAATTCAACGCCTTAGATCACATTTTAGTAAGTGTCCTTCAAAAAAGGACGTCACCAGAAAATGGGTTAAGCACCTTCGAGGTCACTTGCTGTGGAGAGTTTTCAAGAGAGAGCGTTGTGCAGAATCGATGTAAACGCTCCAGCTGCATCTGATAGCGATATAATCTATTCTGTTTTGGCGCGCCTACTGACGCATAGATCGCCCACCTGTTGATCGGTTCTCCGAGCTTGATAAAATGATCGCATGCGTTTCGCCACCATGTGAGGTGGCATCGTCGGTTTGACAATGTGTACTGTACAATCTTGCTTCTTGAATCGTAAGTCCGTGATCGACGGGCAGGTGACTTTTGAAAGTACCAATTTCGATTTGTGTGTGTGTGTGTGTGTGTGTGTGTGTGTGTGTGTGTTGGTTACCAGAACAAAAGACGGTGAATTTCAAACACTCGTTCACAGGAAAGACACACATACGGACCAAATTTTGAATTTCAGCAGCAACCACCCAATGTGCCACAAAATATGCTGCGTGCGGACGCTATTTCGCAGCATTGCAACACACTGCAGTACGGCGGAAGCCAAACAAAAAGTAGAGAAACACCTATTCGATTCGTTCGAGCGCAATGGATACGCACGCAGCTTCATCCGCAGATGTCTAAACCGCAAACCTACAAACACCCAGCCGATGCCAAATGCAAGCATGAGGGTTTTTTTGTCGTATATGAAGAATATATCTGAAATGACCGATATAATGCTCAAACAACACCACATCATGGTTGCTCACAAGCCAGCCGCTACTTTGAGAAGAATCCTGTCAAACTCAAAGGACAACCGGAAAGCGCAGAAACTAACCAACTCCGTGTATAAAATAAATTGCAATACTTGTGAAATGAACTATCTGGGACAGACAGGAAGGAAACTATCCACAAGGATACATGGACATCAGACGGCTTGTACAAAACATTCTGCATCGTCTCTTGTCTCAGCGCATGTGAATGAGGGAGTACATTGTTTCAGTTGGAACAAAACGGAGATTCTAGCTCAACCAACAACACAGAAAAGGAGAGAATTCCTGGAAACATGGTACTTCTCTAATAATTCGATCAACATCGCTCCCGTGTACCATCAGCTCCGAAACGAAAATCTCCGGCTAATAGAAAGACATGGTTCAACCACGGAAGTGAATGGGCGGAGATCACGAGACGCAAATCGAAATTGCCACTTTTAAAAGTCACCTGTCCATCGATCACGGACTGACGATTCGATAAGCAGGATTGTACACTGCACATCACCGCCTTGACGATGCCACCTCGCATGATGGCGAAACGTATGCAATCCTTTTATCAAGCTTGGAAAACGGATCATCAGGTGAGCAACCAACCCGAGCTACCAGTGTTCCAAATTATTTCGAACATAGATCGCTGGCCAGGTATCCATGAAGAACTCGATCACTTATCCTTGACAAGTCAATGTTTACACAAATTTTGTTTCAGCCACCGAATCGCTAAAGCTTCAGTAAAATGAGGCAAGCGAGTATTGCTTCGTCGGTTAACTGTCCTGAATCATTCGCGGGTATTTTAACATATGGAACAGTCTAGGATGTGTTGAGCAATTGAGCTGACCGGATGGATACCGCCCCTATGCACGGTACCACCTATGGGAAGCTGATCTGACTCCGACAGAGGACCGACTCGATCACTCATTTGTCCGCAGTGACCACGTTGCCTGTTCTTTTCCGAACTCCAATTGAACACTAGTATCTCCCGTAATATCTGCTTTTGATGCCATTCAGGCTGCATGCGATGCGGGCATATTCCCAAACACTGAACGGGCACTTTGCTTTTGTTCGCTATCTCCAACGGAACCCTGAAGACGGCTGTTCTGCACTAAGGAGGGACATCCTTACATTGCACTTGCCGTAAGTTATGGACCTGGCATCACCGTCGAGAAGTATAAAGGCTTCGTGGTTTCGACCCAAACATGATGAGCGTTTGTAATGGCGCGCACTAGTTCAGTTTTTCGCACTTGACTCACCGTTCTGTTTTCCATTCATTTACCATCAAGCCATGCATACTCACACACACACACCGCATACTCGTTTTCTTAACAAACGCCATCACCACATCTGAACTCCATCAGGTGACCATCACATATCTGGTGAAGCACTGGAAAGCTGTTTCATCGGTTCGATACTCGTCAGCAGTTGAATTCAGTCTGGTGCTTAAACCCACAACCCTACTTTTATTAGTTCGCGGTTGAGTCCAGTAGGCCAGCGGGATGGATAAGGCCTAAATTGCTAAGCTAATGTAGCGCAGCCCACTTGCATGACTGGACTGCGTACTATTGTGTATCACTGCTGAAGGGATTAAACGGCTCTCCATTGTCTCTGGAAGTATTCTTATCCTCTAACTGTTCCTAGTTGTGATGAGTTCCACTTGACGAACTACTTCCTCGATTGGGTTTATCATATCCCAGCGAGTTATTCTTTCAAATTGTTCAGGGACATGATGGGTTTTCGCCTGGCCTTCGTTCTCTCCATAAAAAGCCACATATGTCCGTTTAACAACACTGCAATGTGATAAATGTGATCCGCCACTAAATAAAGTCACCGCTACTTGCTTCACTCTGGTGGAGCATTGCGTTCCCACAACTTGATGATGCAGTCACTGACTCTCAATGGGCGCGATTCTCTGACTTGCGAGCAGGCTCGGGATCGTTTGAGCAATCGAGAAGTGTCGTGCCTCTGCAGAAACCATTCGTTTCTCGGTGGTGTTCGGTTTTATTTTTACGACAACTGCACCCTTTGGTCTCCATGTTTTTTAATGGCTCTATGTCCATTCTTAGACTGCTGAGAAAATATATACTACTCCTTTATAAACAGCCAATGTTAGCGATTGATGTAACGTTGCGCCGTCGCTCTCCTGCACTCCGGAAGGGAGCATTCTGTTGGTGCTCCGCTCACTTTTATCTCTCTTCGTCTCGCTTCTTTATCCTCAGGTCCTCCTCAATCCATACGATGATATCGTCCTTAGACAACTTCCACCCAAAGTCCCTACGAAGCCTCTGGAGGACGAATCGAACCAAGTTACTGCAAAGGCAACAAAGTGACCATCACTGTTGTTGTGTTTTTGTTTAGTTTTTTACGGTTTTCACCTGGTCTGGTGGTTTATAATTCCTCGCATTCCTCTCTCGTTAGTTGGGAGGACTCATCGTAGTACTAATCCACATTGCTCTGAAGATCCATCAGCATGCAATGTATTTAAACTGTGCGTGGTAAGAACGAAGTAGTGGTATATTACAGCCTTGGTTATCCTGCATGTCAACGAATGATGTGCTTTGGAATCATGTCACACTGTATAGAACGTCGTAAAATCTCATCCTGATGGACACTCTACTCACCATCTCGTATACGGAAAATATCAGTGCTCACTCAGCCACAACGTTTTTCGTGTGCTCCTTTGATTAACGACACCCAAGAGACATTACTTTGTATCCCACAATATGGTTTCATACCTGCTGCACTTTGTTTATCGCTATGAAGTCGACAAGGAGACACACCCAACCACTTTCTGCTACAAGCCACCGTGGAATCAGAGACAGCTGGATCCTTGGGTGGTATTTCAGAATTGACCTACCCCATAGGGTGTATTTCCAATGACACTAACTGATGACGTCAGGGTAAACTATGGCTGAACTTCGGTAGTTGAGAGCCACTCAACATCTACTGCACCATTATGTGCTTAAAACGCATTAAGCTAAGGTATACTCAGTACGCTGATACGCTATACCGACTCTTCGCTGTTACGCGACTATCACCCGTCGCACGCTGGCCAGGGATATTGCAAGATCGTCTGCAACTACGCCGATTCAAACCAATGACCATTAAATTCTACCAATTGATCACCGGCCAACAATGCAGTCGTCAGTTGTGTTCACTGGACATCATGAGTTCTCGATAGCGGGCACAGCACCAAATTTCAATGGCCAGCTCGCAGCTCTGAATTTGCTGGTAACCATTCTATCGGCTTACGGAATAATCTCAACATTGAGTTCTTGGAGAACAACCTCAATTTGTCACCTGTTGATGCTTCAGCCACAAGAACATGGACGTTGAACTCTCCCACAATGAGAATAAGGACGTACTTCCTGCGTGGATCAATCTTCGCGGCAGATGTCAAGCTGCAAGCCACCTTCGAAGTCAAATCATAGAAACGATAGACCACAATTACACGGCATCTCATTGCTCCTTAGTTTACACCGTCACCAAGACGAAACAGTGACACGCCTTTTTGACTCATCTGTGAATTCATTTCGGGGCTGGCTTCACAATATAGAACTACTTCACATTCTTCTTCATCATCACTCATAAGTAGTATACGAATGAGAATATCACTTAGTCGTTTCCTTCACAAATCACTCATGTTTTAGTTACCACAATTGAATCTTGGTGTTATTGTGTCTGGCTGTATCTGAAGCCGCCCAGCGTCTAACAAAGCATCGGCGCACAGCCTTATTGTTTCGAGCTTCAGAAGTCTTCCACTGAACACATAACTTAGACTGATGATCATACCGAGCATTGAGAGTTTATAATTTTCGTCAAGCATTGACCCTTAGCTTTGAGATAGATAGTCGGGATGTGGCCGAAAGGATTTCTCGCCTGCGTTTTTATCCTGAGGTCGACATTTCGTATTTACGTAGGTGCGGGCGGCCTCGCGGTAAACGCAGCCCTCGCGCGACTAGTGGTGGTCGTCGTTTAGCGTCGGTGCAGTGTGTTGACATGCTGCTGATGCCTTTCTGTATATTTTGAGATAAGTTACACAACTGCACAATGCGCTTCCAAGCCTACACTTTACAGCCTCATGTAGTATATTCCGTCACTGTATTTTTGACTCCTTGCGCCGAAGTATTCAGGAGCAAATCTCTCAAGTGTACTGTTATTCTAATCTTGTTGTTCTTCTATAGCGCGAAATTCCGTTTCCGTCAACCGTAATTAGGATAGAAGAAAGGAGTGCATCTGGGACATGCTACTCTTGTCTTAATCATCTAAGCAGTGTTTGGGCCTCATTTACCTTCGAGCTGAATCACGTCCAGAGCTGTTACTGTTGATGACGAACCACGATCCTTGACGTGCACTTCCGATCATGTCAAGCACCGTCATTATTCTCTCTGCTCTTGTATATCCACGAGTGAATCGCCTGAGGACATACTAACTTTTGACGTTGTCGGCCAACTGTACTCTGACTGTTGGATTTGCTGCAGGCTGAACTAACACACGCGATCGGAGATAAGCTAGGTACCGTGCAGTTCTTTTAATCGATTGATCCTGGCTTTGCGTGGAACATAACCTGAATGGCAAACTACTAACTGATTCGTGCGGTCTTTCTGAGCAGTAATTTTCAGGGATAACTTCTGGTTTGTGGTGCAAATAGTAGAAGCGATGGGGTTGCACGTGTACGGGGTTAGGTAATAATGCTATCTGGTGTAGAAGCTGGTATCGCGATGCTTGGAGCAGCTTTCAGTCGTCAGTTAATCGAATCGATCTGACATCTCTGATTTGCGTAAGTGTGCGTTCAACGCGGTTGGAAGTAAAGCTAGGTACATCCGCGACTATTATCGTCAAATCACAGGAAAGTCCTAGCTGCCCAACGATACTCGTTTCTTGTTATCCAAGTGCTTTTGTTTCCTATTGGTTTGTTTTTTACTAGCGTACCCTGTGGTTGATCAGAAGAAACAGTTCGTCGAGGTTGTTTTCACATGGGACACTTCAACATTTTGTTGATTCCATCGGCCATTTTGTCAGCTATTTAGCGTACTTGCTGTTTATTATTCACCATTTTACCTACTCACTGCACACAACCCACATTTGTAGTGTTCCAAGCTTATGTCAATTCCGAAACATCTCATGGACTAATTCTGCGGGCTTCTTGGGTGTGCAATTTTCCTCGGGAACTGACTTCTACGCCAGCTGTTAGCTAGCACAGGGAAGGATTTGTCACAAAGCTGCTCGAGGCTAGGCTGTTGCGGCGAAAAAGTGGTTTCATGCATCCAGTCATCACTGGTTTCCCATTTGTCTGTCTGAGTCGCTCATCTCTTTGGCTCACATCCACTATTTGTTTACTCTGAGAATTTCTCCACTTTGCTACCCCCTTAATTTATCGGAATAAGCTGTTCGTTTTCCATAAACTGTGACATTGGCTTTCATTACATTTTCAGAATGATTCATCTATTTTTACTGCTCCTTTGTCAGGAATTTTTCCCTGTTATCTTTTGGTGAAGAGGCTGAGGAGGAGGAACAGGTCGCGACCGTAGTCTCGGAGGTAAGTCCGCGTTGAGCCACCCACTCACAGTTACGCCCTGCTCGCATGATTGCGGATTGTCTAGCTATCATTCACTCCCAACACCATCATTTGTCCTGTGACTTTCAACCTGTCTTTGGCTAGGTTTGTTCTTCAGTTTACGGTTTCTTCTGCGCTTGGATTAATCAACCGAAATAATAATAATAACAATAATAATAATAATAGGTATATTTCTCTTCAAGTAAGAAGCTGCGTCCATATTTAACGCAGATCAGATATGTACAGGTAGCACCATGCTCTTGCATGGGCAATATGAACCTGTAGTGAGGTACAGTCCAACTAGATATTACGATTCTTGGTGTAAGGCAAAACCGCAAGTAGCATATGTTATATTTCTTGAATTTTACAAAACAGTTCTCAAGCTTTTTGGCGAACATGACTAATTGAGTCCTGAATAAATTTACCTATAGCTCGACATGAACCACAATAGTTTACACACTGTAGAGCGAAGTATCAGAGTTCTGGCCCTCACTTGTTGACAGAAAGCTATTGTACTTATCTTCCCGAGTACCGGCAACAATGACGCTTGCACTGAAGCAATATTACAATTTAAACAAAGTGGTACTTATAACTACCGTCAGGGCACAAACGGTTAAATATTTCGGGAGGATTGCGAGGTTTTAAATGATAATAAGTGTAGGTAAAACGTATAAATGAGGTAATACGGCCATTACTGGACCCCCACCTGGGATCTGCTTCCATGCGGGTTTTTTATCTCGATGGATTTCACTCGCACTTCCCTTTGCCATCTGGCCGTGTGCCGGTGTGATTTTTAAAGCAAGTAAGCTATCACTTATGTCTTCTTTCAATAGAATTCTTGTCCGTAACTATACGCAGCCCATTGGATTTCACTCTAATGATTGCGCGTGTTTTACGCTGCCAAGCTTACAGTGCATTGCGTAGCCGCATTCTACTTGAGCAGACAAATTACCCGAATTTTTCTTCTTCTTCCCAACCAGATACTGTAACCATTCACTCCTAAAAACATCAGACGACCATTTCACCCCAGTGGGGATCGTCATTGGTGCACGTTTACTCGGTCCATACAGCGAACCGAACCTGTGATCGCTAGCATTTTGCGCGAACTAGCCAGCAGCTTATACCACTGAGCAACGGAGAGACAGTGGCATACCGTCATAACGGACGAGCTAAGTGGGATATAGCATAATCTCTTCTCCACTGCCATGCAGCTTACTACCATTGCAGAGGACAGTGATTGGCCTCCAGAAATCACGACTTTCACTACACAGCAACTATGGACACATAGCATTTGCAGGCTGTAGAAATTTCACGGCGACAGCTTGTTTTGATTACAGTCACGATCAGTGCGCACGAACGGTTAACTGGTATTCTTAACTGGTTACGTGAGTGCCCGGATCGAACGGTCAAGACAGGTTCTTCTGGATCAGTGTGCCTGTCGATACCAAGCTTTACTTGACTGCCCACTGTTCCCAATTTTCCGTCCTTGTCATCTTTCATGACTTACCGTCGTAGTTCTTCACCAATGAAACTACGACATAGCTGCTTCATCACATTCCACTCCTTCTGTGTCTTTTTTATCCTTTTCCCACTGCAACAGTGCATCTCTGTCGACTTTGATGGCTACTCCGTACACTGATTGTTATTCATATTCGGCTGATATTAATCATATTCTCTTCCAACTCCCACCGCTTGTGGTTATTGTTCTGTTCACACTGCCCAACATCATGCTCACTTTGGTTGCCGTCTTGACTGTTTACTTGCGGCCTGAATTATCAGACCAGCTTATCTGTAGTGTCTGTAGAAGCAATATGCCTCTGGTTTGGAGTATGATTTAGGGATGGAATGCAAATAGACAATTTGTTGATGGTTTCAAAACACTGCATGACATGATCTGGAGTCATAGTTTCTAACTGGTCATGTAGGGAATGCTTTCCTTCTGGGAAAACGTGATTTCCCTCTGTTTCACTTCACTGTTGTGTGTCCCATAGGTATTCCACTTTGCTCGGTTGGCGCCTGTTGTGCTACCTTGTGTTCAGTTAATATTGTATCTTAATCACGTTAGAATATTTCGTTTTGCGGACACATCTTTCGGCTCTGGCCTTGACATATTACCCGCTGTCTTTCTGTTTCACAGAAACTGCGCAAAAAGGGTAAGAGTGCCCATGATCTTCTTTCTGATCCAAGACTTAGTTCGCAGCCAGTCACCGTAAACGAGCATGATGGTGCACTTGTTGCACAGGCGAAGGAGCAAGCTGAGAAAGACGCCGAATTGCGGCGTCGGCGAAGACAACAGGCGATGGAAGATGATCCGGATTCAAAGGAGGCTAAAGAGAAGCGCATGTAAGCTTACGCGTTCGTTTTGATAGCCTTCTGATCATATTTGTGGGTTCCTTTTTGTCCAGCTACCCATGGACATCTGAAAGGGTAAGTGCGCTAGATCTAATTTTAATACAGTAAGAAGACGAACACTGGCAGATGTCAACATTTCGTATTGTCTCTTCAGTGCCAACACAATAACATGAAAATATATAAGACGACAGATAGGGTGAGACCGGAACAAGTTAGAACAGGGTAGAGGGGCAGGCGTGACACCCCTACGCCCAGGGCAGCCGTAGGCTTACGAACAGCTGTTTCTGCACACAGAGTGCGGGTTTGATACGGCTGATCGCGACTGCCTCTGCAAAACGTAGGAAACGGGTGTTAGTATGTCTTAACACGATTGTAAACATTGTGGCCGGATCAAACTGGTGACAGGTGGCCAGTAAGTGCCTACCTATGGATGAAGCAGGTGGTTTACGTGAACAGATGGTATGAGCAACCGAGGACTGTGCAGAGGCAGTCGCGATCAGCCGTATCAAACCCGCACTCTGTGTGCAGAAACAGCTGTTCGTAAGCCTACGGCTGCCCTGGGCGTAGGGGTGTCACGCCTGCCCCTCTACCCTGTTCTAACTTGTTCCGGTCTCACCCTATCTGTCGTCTTATATATTTTCATGTTATTGTGTTGGCACTGAAGAGACAATACGAAATGTTGACATCTGCCAGTGTTCGTCTTCTTACTGCATTATTCAAATTACTAAAGGGATCTAATTGTTTCAAATTTCTCAAAAGACGAATTCCCGTTGATTTCGTCAGGCAGTTACGCCGTATTGTTAGTCTGAAGTGTAAACTTGTTTGCTGTCGTTCGGAAATATCTGTTCTCTCAAACTGTATCACCGTACTTCAATATCCACGTTCGATTTGGAAGGTGTTGCGTAAAAAATAAGCTAAAGCCATCCAATGGAAATCTCCGGCGCATTGCCTCTGCTCAATTGGAAACTGCTCAGACTCGACTCACTGCGCTACTCGAGACGCATTCCCGCCTAATGCCAATACTGGATAGCTTATCGTTGTGCTGCAGGATTGTGTTTACCAACTTCTGCAAATTTACTATTGATCGTACAAAGGAGAAATGCAAAGTCCGGTGGCAGAATTCACTAGTTGATAAACGGGAGGAGCCTGCATATCGTGACCCCAATACGTACGTTCTAAACCTGTCAAATGTTCCCCTTGATGCCTTACAACTGGAAGCATTATCGCTCGGAATGGATTACAAAGTCCCACCTGGTAAGCTAAACCGCTTGTTCATAGAGGCACAGTTTGAAAATTTTTATGACCAGTTAGCAGGATTACAGGCGTCTAGTCCAGATATGTCAAACTGGTTTAGAAACAAACTAACTGATATTGCCCATGAAGTCACAATGACGCCAGTGCGTGAGAAGTGTTTGCTTACAAGGCGTCATCTTTGTGCACTACGAGAGCTGAGAACAAAGGGGGTGATTGTACTTAAGCCAGACAAAGGCTCAGGAGCCGTCGTTATGTGCAAGGAAGAATACACACGGAAAATGCAAGATTTACTGAGTGATGCTAGAAAATTTAAACTTCTTACAAAAACAGAGGATGTTAGTGAAGTGGAAAGACGCATCACGGAACACCTAAACTTGCTCCTCTTACACCGTGTAATTGATGATGAGGTATATAACCACCTAAAACCGGGAGGGTCCAACATACCTCAGCTATACGGTTTGCCAAAGACCCATAAATGTGGTATACCGCTTAGACCAATTTTGTCAATGGCAAACTCGGCACAACATAAGTTGGCTCGTTGGCTGGTAGAAGTTCTTTCGCCGTTAAAGCAGCAGACCATCCCACACCGTCTGAAGGACTCTTTCGAACTTACAGAGGCTTTAGATGAGTTTAACTTATCCGATAAAGTCATGTCCACATTGGATGTACAATCGCTTTTCACCAATGTTCCGCTACATGAAACAGTTGATTACGTGTGTGAAATGGCAGAGTGCTCCGATTTTACTCTTCCAATGCCAGTCGAATTATTAAAGGACAGCTTACTACTATGTACTGAGAACATCGGTTTCCAATTCCAAAACATTCCTTATCGCCAGATAGATGGGGTGGCAATGGGTAGTCCGTTGGGCCCAGTACTAGCAGATTTTTTCATGTCGATGGTTGAAAAGACGTTGAGTGTGGAAATATCGCTGCTTTCCTACTATAAGCGATATGTGGATGATATTCTAGTGTTTAGCTCATCAGAGGAGCACATTGCGCGTTTAGTCGATCGCCTGAATAACGTGCATACGAATCTGAAAGTAACCAATGAAACAGAGAAAAGCAACCGCCTTCCATATCTGGACGTGTTGATTTGCCGAAGAGCAGATGGGTCCATCAAAAGAGAGGTTTACCGAAAACCGACTTGGTCAGGGCAGTACCTACACTTTACCAGTTTCTCCCCAATGCGGTACAAACGGACCTTAGTCAAGACGCTATTCAACCGTGCAAGGAAAATATGCACTACCGACAGTTTAGATGATGAGATAAACTCGCTCAAGGATACGTTGTTGAAAAATGGCTATCCAAGTAGGTTCATCGACAAACATAGTCAGGCGAGGGTGCCGGGACAGAAGGTATCGACAGTGGCTAAAAAGAAGATCTACATCGAGCTACCATTTAAGGGAGATTTCGCTAATATGAGGACAACGAAGCGCATAATTTCCGCAGTCCAGAGGACTTATTATGCTGCCGAAACTGTCCTTATCAACCGGACGAATCGAATGCCCGTTACCCCAATGACGGAAAGACAACCTATTGGCGCCAACTCACATTGCATTTACCAATTTACTTGTAGTTGTGGTATACACTACATTGGCCGTACCAATCGATCGTTGAATTCCAGAATAAGGGAACATGTACCTAAATGGTTGCAGCGTCAAATCACCCAGTCCTCGGTTGCTCATACCATCTGTTCACGTAAACCACCTGCTTCATCCATAGGTAGGCACTTACTGGCCACCTGTCACCAGTTTGATCCGGCCACAATGTTTACAATCGTGTTAAGACATACTAACACCCGTTTCCTACGTTTTGCAGAGGCAGTCGCGATCAGCCGTATCAAACCCGCACTCTGTGTGCAGAAACAGCTGTTCGTAAGCCTACGGCTGCCCTGGGCGTAGGGGTGTCACGCCTGCCCCTCTACCCTGTTCTAACTTGTTCCGGTCTCACCCTATCTGTCGTCTTATATATTTTCATGTTATTGTGTTGGCACTGAAGAGACAATACGAAATGTTGACATCTGCCAGTGTTCGTCTTCTTACTGCATTATTCTAATTTTAAGAGCCCACGTCGTTATAATGGTACTGATCAAAGACCGTGTTAATGGCAGAGAATGCTCAGTTATATACACCTAAGCAAACACATTGAAAGAACTGATCGAAAACATTGTCAAGTAGTCCTCCGAGAATCAAAAAATGAACTCTAGGCTGCGATCAAAATCCGTAACGCCTTTTCATAGGGCAGTTTTATACTGTGTGCAAAAATGAATCAATCTTGTCTTTGCGTTTCTTCAGGCAAAATGTTGTCATACAAGTTTAGCTTGGGGTTGTCGATGCGATCATGCGCGGTGAGCTTGAGCTCATTCATTATCATCATCATTACACGTTAGCTGCAGGTAATAAACACACTTCAGTTACTGTGCTGCAATACAGAAGATAAGATATATGAGAGCGAAAAACGAGATGCAAAACATTACAGTGTGCAATATAAAACCAGAAAACGTTACATAATGCTTGGTATCATATTATGTTTCAAGTATGGGCACGTAGTTGGAGGGGAGAGACAATAAAGTTTACAATACAAGCACCATTGGGACCGTTTCTTCACTATGTCAGCCTGCGTAACCAACTATACGTGTTTATTGGCCTTTGCTCTTCGACGCCAATTTCGTAGAGAGGGACTTCATTCCTCTTGATCAAGTCCTCGTTTGGCCTCCCCTGATCTTCGTCCATCTACATTCCTGGTGCGAAAACAACGCACGGCGCGGTGTGCCGGCGTGCGCGATTCGCGGCTCAACCATCAGAGTCTGGTGCGTAACATAATGGTGCTGAGCGGTTCACTCGCTCTTCCTATACCCAATACGCGACGCCGAACTTATACATTGCTCACGCAGTGCTCCAACCGAACCTAACTGGCCTCTTTTTATATGCAAACCTGACCATCTCCATTTCCTAACGGTTAGTTTAAACGCTCCATCGGAGGTCGCGGTGCGAAACGCGATCACAGCCCTCCACAGTTTTCGTGCTGCTTGCCCGGATTGCCTCCCACCTGCACTGTATAAGGATGGATGTGAGGTTGTAGTGAAAAAGGACTACACAAAAAAGTTAATTTAAAGCCCAGTCAGCTCTGTAAACAGTTAATCCAATGTTCGGTTAATTCTAAGTGTCCAAAACTAGCGTTGTGCCTCGACCAGAACGCAATCCGAGTCAGTAACGATTTCGCTCACCAGACACCGAGAAACAACGCCGAACAACCACGCAGAGAGCCGAATCGAGAACGCCGAACGAAATTCGAAGAATTATTATATCGATTCAGATAATTAAAACAGCTACAATTAATAATGAAGGTGAAATTAGAAAATGTGGAAGTTTACAAGCGCTACAGAACACCCACAGAGCGGGAGTCAATAAAATGAATGCTCGATACGTGCTCTTTGACGTGAGTAGCTAGTTTAGAGGGGATAATAACTGCACGTCCAAACCGCGTACGCTCTTGCGTGTTTGAATTTGTGACAGCTAGGGGTTGGAGAAGGGAGGGACCACTGGAGTCACACATCGGTTAGGTTGGTGGGGTGCTCTGCAACGGAGTTTGTTCAACTTCAGAAGTGTCAGGAGTCTGTTGCGGCGACTGAGATTCGACCTAGGCTGATTTAAGGCGATCAATACTGATGGAATATTTAGAGCCATTTCTGTCCAATACGAAATACTTCTCTTTGCCAGAGATGACTTTGGGAGGGC